AATAATCTCTCTCTTCTCTCTCTCTCTCTCTCTCTCTCTCTATTTTCGGAGAAGAGTGAAAGGGAAGTTTGAGACGGCTAGTAGTTGGCTATCTCATTTATTGAATTTCAAGAGATGATCGGGAGCAGAGAGGAAACAGGAAGCAGAGCTTCGCGATTATGCAGAGAGAAGATGGGGCGCATTATAACCAGATGATAATGATAGAAAAAAAATTGATTTACTATTGTTGATGCTGAGAGGACTGCTGAGTTGACTGAAGAAGTTGCGTCGTGATCGACGGGATCTCGTGCTCGTAATTTCACTACGTGAGTTTTAATCGCGCTGACCAAGTTTAAACTTTGGATGCAGGTGGCTGTCAGTATACGAAGTAAAAAGAGGGATGAGTACGCAACGTACTCGCGGGTTTATAAAGGTTCGAAGAGATGAATTGATCTCGGGAGCGTAATGGATTTTTCTGTTAATTTATTTCAAATGAGAGCTCGGAAAAATCGCGGGTGCAAGGAAAGGAGGAGAACGGCGTTGCGTGGATCATGATTGTTTTTTGTGTTTCTAGTTTTCTCGACGGGTGATTGAGTAAGTTTTTAAAATTTTCCATTCGTCCTTCTACGCGATATCTGATTTTGCTTATTGGTGTATCTGTCACCGGTCACTAATCGCAAATCGCACTTCTGAGCGTATGGCGTTTCTTTTTAGTTACATCCCGGTTTCGGGAGTGTCAGCTTCGAACAACGACGGCTCGGTAATCTGATATGAAACTCCTAAGACAGAGTGTTATATGTGCAATCGGCGGCTCGATCATCGAACAATCGGAGCCTCGAACAATAGTAGGAGAGACATTAGGTGTTGTTTTCGAAATCGAGTCGAAAGGACAACTAATTCCGAACATTGATCTGATTGAACAGGTTTTTATTTAAACCAAATCAATCCAACCAAACCAATTTCCTTAAAGCCTATAACATATCATTCAAGTTTTTATCGTTAACTGAGAAAAAGTTATGCGAATTAATCAAAGATGAAATATCGAAAAATGTTAATTTGTTGGAATGGGCATGGCCTATTGTCTATATGCCTTATCCTTAAGAAGGGCGATTGAACATCCGCATTTGCGATGATCACAGTATAATGGTAAATTATTTGTCGATAAGCACCTTTTACGTACTGCTGATGAAGTCTAGTCTCGATGGTAGGGGAAACATTTTTAAAAATTGATTTCAGGCAGTTATTTACAATTAGAAATTTGCCTAGAAAATAAGTACGTTCTGACTTTAAATACACCAAAAGGGCTGTTTTGTCCGATGCGATTAATGTATCGCGTTGGCTTTTACAATTTGTTTAAGAGAAATAGAAAATATTTTGAAGAACATCCCCGAAGTCAGTGTATTCCTTGATAATTTTAGAACGAAGAACGAACCAACCGATGCTATTCAATTAGAACGTTTGGTTCTAAAAGATTTTCAAACATATGATCTACGTATTAATATAGAAAAGAGTGAGAATTTTTTAAAGAAAAGATATATTTCCATACATCATTGATCGTATGGGAATACATAAGTAGCATAAAAAGATTGACACAATTAATAACATGCCTAAATCTATGAACATTACAGAACTACAAATCTTTATAGATATAGTGAATTACTATGGTAGAATTCAAATCAAAAACTTGTAAGTTCTTTTTTATACCTACTGAAAACTCGTCTCTTGCGAAAAGAAAGTTTAGTTGCGTTTGTTTAGACCAGGAAATACGAAAATGTTTTCTTCAAAGCTTTCAAAATGATGAATTGCTAATGATATCCATACTATGAAACAAAATTACCTATGATTTTTATCACACAGATACGGGATTATGACGGTATTGCACGTCTACCTTAGGTAAACATCGGAAACGGTCATATATCTAAAATATTGATGACTCAGAAAAAGTACTCACAAATAAATAAAGAGATTTATGCTATTATTTTTGATATAAAGAAATTTCAGCAATTTATTTATATACTAACAAGTTTATCTTCCGAATCACACTCATCATTGCCCACTAATAATTCAAATTTTCTCCCAATCAAAAAATCTTTCATTATGTAGCATATTATGTACGCAACTGTACGCAACACATTGTTTCTACAAGGATCCAATTACGGTGTAAAATACAAGATGAGAAAATTATGCAAAAGCAGATTGTCTCTCTTGACTTCCAATTCGGATTAGCGAAAAACTAAAAATTGATATAATAGATCTTTTTTAAAATAGTGTACTTGAAACATCAATTATCGGTGACTGTAGTCCTTAAAAAAATAAATAAATAAATACCCGCGAATAAATGTTTTCCAATTTTATTGTCGGAATTCACATTGCGTGCAAATGTAATTTTGCATGAGAATCGAATAATTGTGTCAAAAATCGAACAATCTCTCGAATCCTTAGCGATTTACATATCGGACATTTTAAAATCGTCAAAAAAAAATAAAAGTGTACAAAAGAATAAGTACATTACACTGTTGTACTATTGTGCTAAAAAGTGGTAAACTAGTAAAACACATGAATCAAATTCGAAAAAAAACTAGAAAAGACTGTACAAAAGATAATAATTCAGATCTCGATAGTAATCATCGAGAGTAATCGAGATGAGGAAAATTGCACATTAGCGAGTCAGGAATCGGAAAAAGGAGCGGCGGATGAGTCTGAATCGCGTTTTGGAGTCAACCGCCGAGCGCCGAGCGCCGAGCGCCGAGCGCCGAGCGCCGAGCGCCGAGCGCCGAGCGCAGAGCGGGACACCATTCTCGTCGGTGCACGTACCGTATATACGTGGCTGTGCGTTAGGGACTCTACACGGGACTCAACAATACTGTCCATTAACATCAACAATTAACAAACATTGACAATATTATTGATCGTGTATGCTTGCTAATACCGATGGATTATCAGTTACATTAAATATGGTAATACGAACTAAATGATTTTATAGCTGCGATGACATATACTTATGTCATTGTAGCACTTTGAACTTGTATTCGCTCAATTTATTACTTCATTAAATTTCAATATTAATAATTGCTCCTTTTCTCCTTATTATTCCTGACTGAGGAATATCTTTCGCTGTAATACTGTTAATATATAACAACAATAATAATATTATACGTTGATACGTCAATACGTTAACATGTTATAATATTGTTATGTAAATAATAGTCGCACAAATTCGATGCAGTCTGCTTTTCGGAAAATGGTTCAATTCTAAAATTAAAAACGGATTAAAAATTTAGATATCAATCTCGCACGTTGTGGATTTCAAGCACAACGTTCAACGCCACTTTCTACACGATTGCTTAATAGCATTAACATCCCAATATCCTCGTGTATATGTTTAATGATATAAGAAATATATGTATAATATTTTTATGCTTGCATTTTAATATATTTGAGGTAATAAGATGGAACACATGTATGAAAATACAAGAAAAATATATTGTATATATTGTATATACAATACTGTATATACACATTTTTCATCGGAAAAAATACTTTTCTAATAAATACAATCAAAAGCTGCAAAGCATGGTCAGTCGCGATTTTGGTCTTGTCGTACAGATCATTAATAAGTTTTATTATTTACAGGCGAGGAGAGAGAGCTCCGATTGAATGAGAAGAGCTTCGAACGGGCAGCCGCATTACTCCGGCGGGTTCCGGAATTCACTATAGCTGCCGCACTGCGTCAAGAGGAATCCAATTCCGGAACGATTGTCGCCTTTTCGCACGGGAACAATAGGTACAAAATACTGAAAAGTTTCTTTTTATCCTTTATTATGCTTCGTAGCTACGCATCGTTCGGGTCCGATACGTAAAACAAAATGTTGTTGTGATCTATTTCAAATATAAGTATAAACTGCAAAGAAGGGAAAAACATCTTGAGAATATATATATATATATATTTTACAGATTGTATGTATGTATGTATCACAAAATATTTAACTCGCGTGAAATGAAATCCAAATAGTTTTATGGATTATTGGAGTTTATTAATTAAGCGACTTCAATATTTTTTTACAAACAACTAAGAGGAGAAAAGGAAGGACATATTTTATTATTTGATGATGCACAATAAAAAATATAAAAATGTATTAAAAAAATATGTTGATTAATTATTGTGTTACATATTCAAATTATATTAACAATCATAGATGACATGGCAACGATACGTAGTTCGTGATATAAGCATTGCCTTGAATTTATATATATTAGTTATTATATTAGTTATATTATATATATTAATACATATTAGTAACAAGAAACGAAGAAAAATTATTCGATATTAAGATCTTGTCCGCCGATTAACGCTATCTACGATTTGAATTATTGATTATAAAACATATATCGGCTTGATTATTATTATCATTCAACATTTATGTGAAAAGAACGATTTATATGGAAAAACATTTTCAATCAATTTGTTTGAATTTGTCATACATAATAGATTTCGCAGCCTTGATAAAAAAATCTCAATAATTAAAATTCTTGTATAGCTAATGAATCTGAATTGAAAATATTTAAAAAGTTTTTTTTTTTATAAGATCTGTCTAGATGAATTTGCACTTGTGATGTGTATCTGCTCGCAATTTTGGTGTGTGTGTGTGTGTGTGTGTGTGTGTGTGTGTGTGTGTGTGTGTGTGTGTGTGTGTGTGTGTGTGTGTGTGTGTGTGTGTGTGGGCGCGCGCGCGTATGTTTCGATTTAAAATATTCCTTGTTACTGACGTATAATGTGCAAGACAATCATCTTGTTGAATCCATATTATTTGACGGAAATGCAATGGCAAATCATGTAAAAATGTCCGTAAAATTTCTATTAGAAAACGTGCATATTTTTCTCCAGGTCAGTGCTCCTTCGATAAAATGTAATTCCCAATTATACGATTTTCAAGTACGTTATTTTCAAACGTTTCATTAATGTTGATGATCGATTTGTCTACCAACAGGGAATTTCATTAGTGCATATTCCTTGAATTCATGGATTTATTCTGTGAATGTGTGATGAATGCAGCCTCATCCGTAAACGTAATAGTTTCGAAAGAATTGTTTCTTTGAAATAGAATCACAAAATCACTAATCACAAAATTCTAAACATTGATGAAAATAAGTCAATTTTTGAACACATGATAAATGATATGAGTGGAATTTGTGCCCTCTGAATATGCGTATATAACGTAGGATGCTGTCTACTAATTGTAGGCTGTCTTTCGACTTCGCGAGAGATCATGGATGGATTTAATGTAACTGCAGTTAAGTCTGCAATTTCGTTTACTTCACTCATTACTACCGTCTTATTTCGAATTGGCTTTTTGCGTGATAAATTTCCCGTCTGATGAAATTGTTTAACAATATTATCAAAAGTATAACGAGAAATCCTTGAATAGAGAAGAAACGTCTATCGGTTCGTGTGACATCACTCAATGATTAACATACTGACATAATTTTTATTCGCGTGGAAATTGGTGTGTGCACTATGACTGCTATAATATAGTTTTCAAATATAAGAATGGACTGTGAAAAAAAAAGTCTTAAAGCCTAATTATTTATCATAATTTATTAACTACTTATATCGGAATCGTAAAAAATTGATAATCGATTACTCTTCTATTCTAATTCGACTGTGATTGATCAATCTTTTAGATTCCAGCATAAGTGTTAACGAATTATTATCTGCATATAATTGCCTTAAATTGCCTTGTTGATTATCATTATTTTACACTCTTTAAAATTTCTCATCTTTCTTTCTTGTATCTCTTAAATCTTTTATCTCTTTAGTATTTTGATTCGTTTCCAATAACTATGATATCTTTTGTTTTACGTACGGCTTTATTTTGGATTCACACAACTCACTCGCAACTCATTACTCAGTATTTATTATCGTACCGTGCGGATATTTTCGCGAGCGCGAGACCGACACGATCGATTATCGGTCATCTGAAAACAGTCCAATTATAATTGAGCTCTATGTTATAATCGAATTTTTTTCTATTCTGCTACAGAATGCATAGAATGTAATACGTTTCAGGTACTTGGAGCTGCAGAGCAGCGGACGCAAGGATGAGCTTCGACTTCACTATATGTCACGTCGCGACGGACTCGTGCACGTCGAGGCATTTCCTTTCCGACTGGCCGATGGCGCCTGGCACAGAGTTGCTCTGAGTATAAGTGGCTCGCAGGTCGAGTTGCTGGTCGACTGTCATCCCTTGTACAGGCGATTACTAAGACCTGGTCCACCTGACACCAACTTCACTATGCCGCAGCTCCAGCTCTGGGTAGGACAGAGGAACATCAGGCATTTTCTTTTTAAGGTAAAGCACATTTTAATATCGGCATAATGTTCCTAATTAGATGTAAGATCCAAAATAGTTATATTAATATTAATTAAGAAAATCGTAAAGTTAGGATATTTTTAATAACAGGAATATGATCAAATTGTTACATTCAAGCCTAGCAAAATTAAGGAATTATCTATTCTTTCTTCTCCAAATAAGCAAGATTTCAAAGAGGATAACTTCATCAAAAATGATTACAATGAGATGATTCGGAAAGTACTTTAAAACTTTGAAATCTCTATTTTTCAGATCGATCCTTTAGATGATGATTCTATAGGTTTTTTTCCCTTGAAAATTACATGAAATTACACGGAAATTACAAAGGAAGAGCCATCAAAGATTCGTGAATCAATTTGTAATTAATTTTTAATAAGTCGTTTTAATAGAAAATAGATGATTACGAATAGTGCAATCAATACCGTACAATACATTTTGTTATTAATTTAAAAAGATTTTAAACGACATTACTGACTCATTATTTAAAATAAAAGGACAATGAGCGTCAGGGCCGATTGCAACGATCCAGTGTATAATCCGGCAAGGACGCTGACGCTGACGCATCAAAATAGCATTTCGACACGAAGTTGGTCCGCGTAATCGCGGACTCAGGCCCGCGGACCGATAAAAGAAAGTGAGGATGAACAAGGTGTGGAAGAGTTGTCTGAGATTGGTTGGTAATAAGAATGTCATACGCGTGTCGTCGTCGTCGTCGTTGTCCGTCGGTCAGTCAATAACCAGAGTCAATTAGAGAGTAAATAAAGCGTACGCCAAGAATGAAAATGTGAAGAAAGAAAGTGTTTAATAATATAAGTGTCCATTAAAATAGGTGAACTATTCCACACGTCTCCGAGCACCTCCCCTTCTTCCCCGTTGGGCTCGGAATGATCCAACACAGGCTTTAATCCTCAAACTCATACTAATTTGAGTCATGAAAAAAAACTTTTCTAATTCTGTAGAGTGGTTTGACTATGTAAAATTTTTAAGATTTAAGTCGTTCTTGAATGTCGTTCTTGACCTCGCTTCCCAATATAAAAGCATCTTGAAGATGAAGGATGGAAATGAAAGTAGAAGCTTTAAAATGCTTTAAGCACTTTAAAATGAGCGTAAGAAGATTGTTGTACAATCTTTTTTACAAAATTGTAACAATTCAAAGATCAATTTTTCTTTAAAAAATCTAGTTTAATTTTGATTAAATAATGTTTAACGTACGAAAACTTTGTTATAAAAATGTAGATGTATTAAAGTAGAAAACTTAGAGTCTTCGTTTTTTTTTTTTTTTTTTTAAATACTGATCGCTGCTGTGTCTGCCTTCTGTGAACAATTAAAATGAAAAAGATATGTTTTGCTTTCAATATTGAGTAATTCAATAAGAAAAAAATCGGACAACGATTAACAGACATTCAAATTAAAGCTAAAGATTCGCTGTTGCGAAAGTTATAAACAGCATTTGTGTGCGACTTTTAATTTATACCATGAAACTTGGCAAATTTTATTAAAATTTTTGTGATTTAATGGATCTCCTTTTGCATAGATATAATTTCATTAAAAAATCTGTAAAATCTTTATCTAAAGGATCGATATAAAAAAGAAAAATAAGTTTTTATTTTAAGAGGAAAGTATGAATGATCTCATACTTTTACTGTCGAGTGTATTTGGCCTAGTTAAAATATACTTTTTATTGTATTTGCGAATCTACTACCTTGTTTAACACCTCGGAATTAAACTTTCCATGTAATTATCTCAATACACAGGGTGCTTTGCAAGACGTCAATCTAATAGCGGGACCTCATGGTTATCTTTCCCAATGTCCTCAGCTTGATTCATCTTGTCCTACATGTGGTCAATTTTCAATATTACAAAATACTGTGGAACAATTAATGCACAATCTCAACGAATTGACTCGTAGGGTGAGTAATTTATACATTTATATATGTAGAATATAAATTATTATATATTTTGTAATATTGTTAAATTATATAAACCTCATATGTTCCAATTTTGCGATATAATTATATACGAAATGTATTTTTAATGATATTAAACTCTATGGAAATTTCTGACAATATCTTTATCTTTTTCATCAATAGAACATAAATAAGGCAAACTTGTTTTGTTCATGGACATCCTTTTTTTCAGTTAGCCGCTGCAGAGGGCAGGATAAGTAAAGTAGAGGAATGCGAGTGCCAAAAATCTTGTAGGGTGAATGGTACCGTCCATGAGGATGGTGCAACCTGGGTGAAGGGTTGTCAACATTGTTCTTGTGTCCATGGCGAAATTGAATGCAGGCCGACGCCCTGCGCTCCAGTCACATGCAAGAATCCTATCATTCCTGAGGGACAATGTTGTCCGATTTGTCTCAGTAAGTGAAATATTACATTCTTATCTTTCTCTTTTTTTCGTTTTGACTTGTATAAACAAAAAGTGTTGTCTTAAAATTTTAATTGATGTAATTTTTAATAAAGAAGTTTCTATCTCATTATAATAATTCTACATTACTCTACATTATTTCTATATTATTGATTTTAAAACTTGAGGAGAATCTTGTAATTTTAACATTTTTATTATTTTTCATTCAATCCATACGATAATATTTTTGTCACTGATCGATACTATCATTTTATTATCTACTTCAATTTATCTGTTGTGATTATCGTAGACACTCTTTATTTTTAAAACATCGCATAGATTTTTGATATTTAAGAAAATAACTCGAATATCACTCTAATAAATTTAATATTTTTAAGCGAATACATCTTTTACTTTTACACACTCAATTGACTGATTAATTAAGATAGCGGGCTTCATGTTCAGTTGATTGCTACGGTGTTGTATTTTACGTTATTCATCTTGTCATTTACGTCTGCATAGGACAATGCTTCTTACACGGCGTAATTTATGATCACGGCGAAAAAGTTTCGCCAAAATCATGCGTCGAATGCAACTGTTACGACGGTAGCTTTACCTGCACGAGAATCGATACTGGCACTAAGTGCCCACCACTGCCGTGTCCACCCAGCGAACAACTTAGCGTGGCGGAAGAATGCTGCAAATTTTGCCCAGGTATATTCTCACCTGAACAGTAACTGTGAAAATGAATATAGTAACAATTTAAAAATCACGGTATTTTTTAAATAAAATCATAAGATGTGTCTGACATGTCATATTTGCACAAGGATATTACAACTTAATTCTGGAAAGTGCACGAGCACATGTTAAAATAAAAACATGATATGATTGTGGACATTGTTGCGCATGGTCATACGTTGATGTAATTCTTTATCTGCGTGTGCTCTTACGCATGATTTCAATATATCTGTTTGAATCTCACATATCATAAAAATATATGTTTCTCGAACATGGATAAAAAGAAATGAAAAATATTTCGGGTCATATAATAGTATAATTATATTCCTAAATGTTGAAAGAGTAAGAAATTTTTTCAGAATTTTTTAGGATTTATAAACAACTTTAAAAAAAAAAAAAAAACAATCATCCCTCAATAATCCAGGTGATTTGCATTTTGCGCTTGGACGCACTTGCGCTATGGTCATCTTATATCATAGTGACATTTAACTATCATTTAATATATACAGATTGGATTAAGTAATATTTTTTTGGGCGTGGAGGGGATGAAACTCTTCTACGATCTTATATGTTGTAAGTTGAATTTTAGTGTTGAAATTAAATATATATTTTGTGTCCAAACATTATGTTCTATTCATGAAATTTATTTCTTTAATGAATATCGAGCGACGACTAAAACTTTTGGAACAGTTTTTCATAGTCATAATCTTGACAATATATATTGGAAGTGATTCTCCCAAAAGTCAATAATTATCGAACATTATTATATCGTAAAATGGAATGCTAGAATTTTTCTCGAATACGTCATCTCTGATGAATCTGGCCTTACACGTATGTACAGTTCTGCTTTGACAAACTGCTTTTCTGCCTCTATTCTGCATCCCTCACGGGGCGCTCTTTCTTTATAGATCTTGGCCTAGCTAACTTTTGGCCTTAATCGAATAAAGAGTGGACCCATCTTGCAATCTGTTGTCTTCAAATCAAGGTTTGGCATAACCTCTATAGAATATCATCAGCTTGTTGTCAGCTGTTTTGCATGCCGTAAGGCCGTAAGGCCGTAAGACCTGCGTAGGCACACAAGATATAGATGTAGTATCCGGTGTACATGCTTACCAACGGCATGCCTACATTCGGCACACGCCGAATTTGAATCAACATGCACAGTCTACTTATTCAATTAAATCAGCGCATCAAACATGCAACCACAAATGCAGATACTAAAGCAGCAGCAACATAGTCAACAACAAAAAAAAATCAAGAACTAGGACAAAACTGGCAACAGGGTGGAAAATAAGAAGATGAGAAGTAGCTCTGATAAAATTAATACTAGAAAACGTCAAACATCTATGAATGATTATTTGTTAAATAACTCATTCGAAACGAGCAACATTTACGAGAAACTAAACAATGATGAATCTACAGATTCAGAAAAAAGAAGATAATAACTCAGAAAAAACTGTAATAAAAGCTTCTCCTATTTTTTATAGAAGGCGTTGAAAATATTATTCCTCTAAAACTTCTACTCGATGAGATTGCAAAAAATCAATATACAATATTAAGGAAAACCAAGTCAAGATATAACCGCTCGCCATAGAAAAATACATACTCATCATATGGATACATTGAAAAAAAGAGTACGCAAGGCTTCACATACTAAAACAAAACTGATAAAAAATTTAAAGTTATATTAAGAAATATGCATCCAACAACAAACTTGGTAAAATTCAAAGAAGAAATAGAAGCTAAAAATCATAAAATAATAAGCATAACAAATACTGCACATGTTCTGCACACTAGAACAAAGAGGCCATTACTCTTGTTCTTCGTAAAATTAGAGCAAAAGGAAAATAATAAGAATATTTACAAAATTAACCAATTACTCGATACAATAAGCTTTGAGCAAACTTATAAAAAAAGGGAAATTCCACAGTGCACAAAATGTCAAGCATACGATCACACCAAAAACTATTGCTTTAAAGGACCAAGATGCATAAAATGCGCAGGAAAATACATGGTAAATGTTCAAAAAAAAAAAGAGAAATAAAATGTTGTAACTGTGAAGGAAATCATCCAGCAAGTTATAAAGGATGCGAAGTATATGTACAAACAATTGTAGCAGAAATTATATCCTAGACTAAGGCCAAAGCAACAAACGGAACAAACCGACAAATCAGTATATCAAAAGCAACGAACAAATATAACTGCAGCTAGACAAATACAACCGAATACATCGAATAATACTACATATGCTCAAACGACAAAAAAAATATCCAATCCCTGAAACATCAAGCGACTAAGCGACTTGTTCGGATAATTCAAGAACGAGCAATCGGCCGGTATTTCCCGACGGAGGCGGATTGCCCTCACCGCAACGATGTGCTTCTCCTGAGCGGGTGTTGTTTGGATGGAATCGAGCAACTGGATGCCGGTCACCCGGCGGGGCAAGGAACACTCTAACTCATAGTCTTCTTCCCTGGAGTTGCGGGAAGCGGCGGTATGGATGAGGAGGAAGACGTAGCTTGCCGGGAATTTTCAGGCGACCGCGGATTTCCATCACCTCGGTTTTCTCGCTGCGTCTTACTCGAGATGGAGCATCAGATCAGGCTCGTGGGAGCGAGCGTTGTGATCCGTAGGAGATTTGATCTTTTCGAACGGAAGACGATTTTTTATACAGCCGCGATCCGATTTTCGGATCGGATTTAGAACGGTTCGGATCGAAGCGGTTGTGAGCGGTAATTAAGCCGCCGCCACCGCTCTATTAAGATAAGATGATCTTTTTATCTCCGGAGAGATTCGGATTTGTTTGTTTGTAGTCGGATTCGAGCGCTGCTCCGCGATGAGATCTGCTCTCGTGTTCGGCCGAGTTCGGCGGCGTAGCGTGGAACGCGTCCCACGCAAGCACGCCGACCGATCGTCTCGCAATTGTACTTGTGAGCCTAATTAAAATGATTAAA